TCACGTACCTATATATGAATTATATAACATGGGGAAGTTTGTGATCGTGAAAATTTTCTAATCGGAATATATTAAAAAAAATCGGAATAAATAAATTACATATTTGAGATCTGGTAATACGTCTTGGATATTACAGTATATAGCATAAAATATAGATATGGAATAAAGAAACAACACAAACGTTAAAAAATAATTGCTTAATTACCAGACAAATTATAAAAAAATGTTTAAATTATAAAGCAAACTAGAATAATTGACGATTTCCCAGAAAAACTGATAGCTTATTTTGATCTAGGCTATCGAAAAAACATTATGTTGAAAATAAAATTTAAACATAAATTCAGTTTCAAGAATTTTTAAAGTTACGAAGTTACTTGTCGATTGAATATTCAATCGTAATATTTATATCTCGTTTTGTGTTTATCAGATTTTAATTTTCTCAGTCAAATAAAAGAACCACAATATTAAAAAATGTTCCTCGGGTCTTCCATGGTGACAACAATCAACTCCCAGCACCCTTCTGACATCTTTAAACCTTTATTACACTCACTTTTACCCATCTACTCCTTCCCAAAGAACCAAAACCTTCGAGCGTTCCTTTCTTGTTTTTCCACTTGCCGATAGAACCTGCTTTTTGCTAACCGTCATACCTGTTTCCTATCTTCATTCAAATTCCATATTTCCAATATCTGTTCCATATATCCAAAACCTGTTTCATGAAATTATATTTTTATGATAAAATTTTGATAATAGTTCTTAATGTTATCAAAGTTATAGTTTTAACAATCACTTCATAGTTAATGAAATAAAATTTTTTTTTGAATCTTGGGTTTAATGGCTTGTATTCCAAACTTACTTATTCTAACTTCTACTACAGAAAAAGTACAAAGATAAATTAAGGAGTTTTTCCTGACTCATTAATGCGCCGGGCGAGTTTAGATGCATTGCACTGGAAAGATAAGATCCAATGGTCACGTTTTCCAAGCAGGTGAGACAGTTATACTTATTAAATTATTAAAGAAGAAGTAATGGTCGCTCCCCTTTAAAGGTGTTTTGTAAGTGGATACCATTTGTGGTTCAATTACGTTATATTTAATCATTAATAATACATAAGTATCAGTACTAATTGAAATATTTAACTTCTGATAGAAATAGTGAAGAAACAGATAAGAACTATAGCCAGCTCCCATGGGACTCCAAGACAATTTGTCATTATAACCCCTAGTTTGCATCCAATAGCAACTTGCGTTTTTGAGATATAAGAACACCATGGTTCACATCTGGTCCTTTTAACTACTGCCCTATTTATTACTCCATTACTGTGCTGAATATCCTCTACTTCAATATCTCATCATCCACACATTTCTTCCTCAGACGCGGATTAGTTTTAAGATTATTTTATGGCACCTAAGGGTATGAAAAATTATGTCGCTCTTTACAACTTCCCCTATCTCCAAAAAAAAAATATATCTACAAATATATATATATTTTTTTTTTGGTTGGTGCTACAGACCATGAAGTTCTTTGGCCGCGAGTGTGGTCTCCTAGCTCATATCTCGATTCCCGATTTAAAGTACTGGGTAGGTTATATTATATTATTATTAGTAGGTAAGTTATATTTGACCAAGAAATGTTATTGGTCAAATATTCTTAATAATAGTTCAAGCGAAAGTAGAATTAGAAAAATCGTAGATTATATACCGTTACACATGCTTTTTTTTTTTTTTTTTTGTTCTTCCCTACCTCGCCTTTTAGGCTATACGGGATTTTCCCGGGCCGGGGGGTGAGGGCGGGGAATTTAAAATCCCCTCCGGCACCGGGACGCGAACTCGTACTTTTTATAGTATCTCAAATCTCTGTTATCCGGTTGCCAAGCAACTAGCGGTGCTGTTACACACGCTTTAGCCTATTCGGCCACCCCGCCCCACCGTTACACATGCTGTGGTCTAGTCAATGTTTTTTCTCTAGTTCTCTGGTTTGAAACTTTTCGCTCCGAAAATTCATAAACCCGTCGAAATATGTTCCCCCTCAAGAATGTGTCCCCTTCTGGGCATCCCTGGCTACAATTCGGTACCGCGATGAAGAAAATTGTACGGATTAATCACTATAACAATCTTTCCTTAGTATTGCGAACAACTTATGCGTTTGACTTTTTCTGGATAGATTTGATTTCTGATCCATTCTGCACTGGTAAGAAATAGAATTTAGTCAACATTTAACAGTCATCGAGATACTGTATTATAAATTAAGATTACTTTCAAAACTCAGTTTTAGGTGAATTCATTAACGGATTAGATATTTTTAAAAAGATCTAATGGTGGATTAGATTAATTTAAATTATGCTTGACTAAGTTTTCTGAGAAAAGATAAACAGATTAATCAGAAACGAGAATGCTAGACTAAAGAATATCCGTGATCCAATAATCCAATGGGTACGATCATACTCAGAAAATTTATATTTATATTTATAATTTAATAAAATAAAGTAATGTAATAAAATTTATATATTATAAATTTATATTTATAAGTTAAGTTTATATAACAGTAGACCACTGAATTCTCCTTTCTGGCGTGAATCGATTACAAGCCTTATGGACTCATCCAATTTTGATACATGATCTGGGATGTGAAACAGCATCTGACCCCACCGCATCCGTATGCCTTAACTTAGGATACAAAATGGTAAGACTTATTATGTGTTGAAATGCCCCTTTTATGGTGGGATGGGGTGAAAGTATATAACGAATGAGGTAACACTTACTTTAATAAAACTAATACCAATGTGTAGTAATAAATAGTATGATAAAATAAAGGAAAAACAAAATAAATATCATTTATTTATAATAATAAATATCATCTGTATATTATTTCTAAAAGGTGTTTTTTTGTCGGTACGGCATAACTTCGTCAATTCTTCATCAAATCCAATGATTGACCACTGATTTTGAAAATATTCTTCTCCTTCACATGTGAAATATAGTCATATCCCCCCGAAATGTCTGGGGGGAAAGTTATGAAGGAAAAGAAACTTTATTTGTGAGCAACTCAAAAAGTATGCGTTTGTTGCTCGATTGTACCCATGATAATTAAAAAGATTACTAAACGGGGCGGGGTGGCCGAATAGGCTAAAGCGTGTGTAACAGCACCGCTAGTTGCCTGGCAACCGGATAACAGAGATTTGAGATGATATAAAAATTACGAGTTCGCGTCCCGGTGCCGGAGGGGATTTTAAATTTCCCCGCCCTCACCCCCCGGTCCGGGAAAATCCCGTATAGCCTAAAAGGCGAGGTAGGGAAGAACAAAAAAAAAAAAAAAAAAAAAAAAAAAAAAAAAAAAAAAAAAAAAAAAAAAAAAAAAAAAAAAAAAAAAAAAAAAAAAAAAAAAGAAAGATTACTAAATTACCTACAAAACAAAAAAAAAAACGTAAAAATCAGACAATTATTAACAAAGACACACACAAAAGATACAATTAGATTTGGTAAACTTAATAATGTCTTCCTCTTTAAAGATATTAAATTTAGGAGTGGAATAGTCTACTACATTTTTTTTCTGGCTTTTATATTAACTTTATTATTTCTTAAAGACATTTGCTTGTTCTTACATTTTATTTTTTTTAATAATTTAGAATATCCTATGATCGGGGCATTATTTTGTCTTTATTACTTTTATTATCTTTCCAGTCAGCGTTTAAAAATAGGTCCTAGCAAAGCAATTTGAATTAATATTTTAGTCTATTATGTTTAATGGAATATTGTAATCGAATAAGGAAAAAATATTAATTCCTTCCTTACATTATAAATAGGAACCACTTATTTCCATATTATTTTGCTATTTCTTCACTAAAAAAAATGTTCTGCGAATTTTGCGCACGGGCCAACTAGTATAATATATCATTCTAATAATATTCATCATTAAACAATATTACAACTAACATTTAAAGTTCAGTTAATTATTGATTTAGAAATCAATAAGGAATACAAAGATTCACTAACAAAGTTTTCGACAAAAAACATGATATAACCTATGACGCAAGCGAATTGGCCGTGGGTTAGGAAAAAACCTTATTCGCATAAAAGTTTACAGTGAAACTTTTACTCACAGAAAGATATTACAATATTCACACTCTTCCTGCACTTGACGTACAAAATGTCATGTTGCATCATGTCAGATGCAAACGGAAATCTATCACTGAATAAACAGGCAAAGATTTTAAAACCACTAACACATTTTTTCTATGACAGTAAACTGTAGATGCATTTGTTGATGAGAATGTAATAATTCTGACCAACGTACAGGATTTAATGTGCCCAGCGTCATAGTTGGATAATAGCCGGATTTATCCAATAATCCACTACTTATATCCAGCCATAAAGACTAAGTCTGCCCCTTTGAAAAAGTTTATAACAGTTATGAAACTATATTTTAGACATTATTTCAAAATTTGTCAGATGGTTCATGCGGCATCATTTCAATTTTGTATTTTCTATCAGCTATCTTCTAACTCATATTTACCTGCTATAGCTCTTTGAATCAAAATAAACACTATTTGTGTTTATAAAAAGTTAAAAATTATTTTTTTAAAATCATTTACGAACCATCATAATGAGTGACTTCCTAGATTTATTCTTAGGTAAGAATGGAAAGTAATATTTCATAGGTATTCCTCTTTTGTCTTGTGAGATTCTCAATCTCCTTTGTTATCTGACAAATGTGAAGATTACATATACTTAGACAAGGTTCTGCTTGATTGACAGGCTTGTACGTGCTTTGGTTGATTGACTGTTTGTACGTGCTAGAGTATTGTCGGAATGCTCTTTGTGAAACCAACTTAAAGCAGAGTTTTGAAAAAGATTTATGAACTTCTGTTAAGTATTTGTATCATTATCAAAAGGAGAATTTTACAATACTCTGCTGTCAGGCCTCATTTGAACGGTAATCTTCAATCTTTTGAATGATACAGAGAAGCAGATATGTTAACGAGTTGCAATTTCTGTTCACAGATGAATCTCCATTCAAAAGTTGCCCTCGATATACCGAAGGGAGCGATCGTGACCAACAATCTGGATACTCCCCAAGGCGGCAGACAAACGCCCAGATAATGGACAATTGACACAGATCAGGAGTCCCCGAAAAGGTGCGACCTTCGCCGGTGATGGGTCGACCTCGTAGTATTACTGAATCCGTTTCGTCATCCACCATTGGAATTAATAGGTTTTGATAAGAATTTACCATTGATAAGGTACATTGTGTCCACCTATTTGGAATGTGATGGTTTCGATTGTGGTTACAGTTATGGACTGAACTATGGATTTGAAAAGATCCATATGATACAGTGTCACAAACCAATGATTTAATTTAATGAAAAACCAACCAATGTCTATTAAATTCTTCAAATAAATTTATTTATCGCACGAATTGCAAATGCGATTGCAGAAAATTCCGGCCATGACATAGCGATTCCAAGATCAAGTCATCACTTTTCAAGGTATTTGTACTTTCAAGATACCACTAGTACCTCTCATTCCCATCTAAAAGAAATAATCATGTATCTCATTTCAAGAGCTATTGTTATTAAATTGATTATAAATAATAAAATAATACAATGTCATGTTAGAAAATTAAAATGTAATAAATTACACAAAGACTTACTATAAGAAGATCAATTATTTAATATTGTTAAATAGTAGTTAAAACTAACCAATTCTCGTCAGGATTACATATCAAAAGCCTATTAACTATATGAATTGATCCCTTTCAAAGATTGCAAGTAATGCAACTTAATAAACAATAACCAATAATGGGTTACACATCATGCTTAAAAAAATATCTTTAAAAATATCAGTGAATGTATATTCACTAATGAACTATAAATTCAAAGTATATAGATCATTTAAAAATTTTGGTCATCCTTATGTCTCTAGTGCTATGTATTGTAAAGACCGCCGGTGGAATAATTATTTTAAATGTATAAATGAACATAAGTGTTCACATCTGGCTGTACCTGACTGAGGGTAACCCATTAGGACAACCTTTTGTAAGTGGTAATAAAAACCCTTAAAGACCACCGACAAAGACCGACAACTAAGTGTTTAAAAAGGATCCCAAAAGACCTTTTCACACCTTCCACCAGAAATACCTAAGTCTGTACCTGCTGCTTTACCTTGGCCTGGGGAAGAGGGCGTGGTCATCCCTTAGGCTGAGAATATTCAACCAATCAGGAAAAGGACTACCGGACTAAGAGAGGGGGATGAAGGAAGTTGGGAAATAGAAAATTTGGACTAGACACTTCTTTTTGGAAAGGAGAGGAGAAAGGACTTCTTTTTGGAACTCAGAGCTGAGAGGACTTGCTCTTGGGACTTCAAGCGGGGAAGTCGAGGGAGGAAGACGAAGACAGCCGGAGAGAGCAGATGGACGGACTAGACGCTGAAGGAGAGCAGAGACAGGGAATCCAGATATGACAGCTAGAAACACTATGAAGGACCAGCTAAGTGGTAACAAGCATTTAGTTATACTAATGTAAATTTGTGTTGGCAACCATACATCATTAATTAATAAAATTAATACATCAAGCATTCTCCTCTAGTATGATTCTTAACTATTCATTATGTATATAGGTTTAGTTATTATTTTGTATATAGATGTTTTTGGTTTTACTTAAGCTTGTAAATATAATAGTTAGTAAACCAACGTAGTACTTTTACATTCTACCTTGCATGCCACCAATTATTAATAGAAACAAATAGTACATTTATAAACATGATACATTTAGAAAGGAAATCCAATAAAGAGTATATGGTTCAATCTAGGATACTACAGTAGGGGGTCTGTGGTATCTAACATTTAAATACATCATTAATATATTTTAAGTTGATCGGTTCCCTTCTGGGACCGATATAAATACATATAAATACAAATAAATGCGGTTCCTGGAACCCCTTACTCGCCGTAGAAACGCGAGGCCAGGAATATAGCACTAGGCAATCAAAGGGTCAAATCATTACTGAAATCAGTTAAATAATTTTTCTCATGATCTAGCCTTTAGAAGCATACTACGCATACAATGTCCCGTATTTTTTTTTATTATAGGATCCATTAAAAAAATATGTGAATTGCTGATTTCTCATTCTCTAGTGGCGTCACAATTCTTACGTGTCTAATCTCAATATTTACATTAAAAAAAATATTTGACTTGGCTGACCCCTTTTATATATGTTACAGGTATTGAAACTCACTCAATAGATATATATTTTTTAAAGTAATAGGAAAATACGGCTTTGAGCACAGGTTCAACATCCCTTCATGAGTTTGTCTCCTAATGGTTATTAAATCTAGACGTCTCTCCGCTTTGGCATAGAAGTGATTCATCATTAAAAGCCTTTATTCCAACCTCAATCCCTAGACCATTAGTTTTCCGATAAAGGTATGTAAATTAAAATCAAACTATGTGCACTGAGTGAAGTTCGGTAGCAATTGAGAATATTTTGAATAAATTCCGTTTCAAACGCTCAGTAAGCGTTTGTGCCATGAAAGGCTGAACCCTAACTCCCTAGCTTCACAACCCTTAGGAAATCTTTAGGTCTAGAGATTAAGGTTACAATGTCCTCTAAAAGTTTTGTTACTTGGCAACGCCGGTAAAATCCAACATTCCAAAGTATGTCAAATTTCACAAAACTAAACAATACTATTATTTGCCTACAATATATATTGGGCTGGCAAATAAGTCCTTTCGGTTTTTCAGGGTGAAATAAAATAATATCTCCGTTTGTTCACGAAGGTTCTGTTGATGCCATTTTATGTAGTTTATACGTGGCCCTAAATTTCTTGTACATAGCTAAAATAGTATTGAAGTTAAAACATTTTTTGTGATTTTCGAAAAAAAAAATCATGTGAGGGACCCAAACATTACGCCAGGTAACATAACCTTATGGCGTATGGTTTTATACGCTTCTGTAAAACACATTTAGGGCCATAGTAATCTCTCACACTGATTGGGAGGGATTTAGATCTACAATGACCTTAGCATTGCTCTTTTCAATTTCATGTGGGCGTTGAGCATCATTGATGTCAAAATTTTCTGAATAAAATTTGTCAAACCAATTGTGTTTATACATACTAATTAATGGACCCTTAAGTGTTTAATATTGAAGTGATCATATTATCGTTAGTACTTTGTTACATAACCTGTAAATTGTAAATTTTCATGTCTAGCCAGGGTAACTTTGGAACTACAGGCTTTTTATTCTATTAATACGACTTTATTGTTCTTATGTTCTTTTAAATATAGTACGGTTGGGTAAAATTGGTATACATTCATTTTCATTGTTGTTTCTTATCTAAATAACGAGCCTATACAATATTGTGGGGTAACATTGGTACACAGTCATGTTTCCGGCCGTTTGAACTAATCTATGGGGTAACATTAGGATAACTTTATTTATTATTATTTATTTATTTAATGAAATTTACAACTATATAAACAATACAACTAGTAAAAATGCACACATTAGAAATCATGACATGAACAGACTTGAAGAGATATTGTTCAATGGTAGCACTTCCTATTTAATTCTAGGTGAGAAGACCACGAGGGCATCTTCTTTTCAGACGCCTAGGGGGATTATCAGGAATCAAGGAAGAAGCAAGGCTGGAAACAAGTGGATTCGGATGGGACTGGAGTTTACCAAGGATAACTTTAAACTTTTTTAAAATATTCTTGTTTCTAGAGTTATTGTTCTATCATATTTTATAAGAAGAAAAGTGACTTTACATATTAATATTTTTTTTAGCATTTCAACTTGAAAAATAAAGATAGAAGCAGCTTAAAAATTTAAAAAGTGTTCCAAAGTTAACCCATCCTACAGTATCATTCATATCATTCATCACGGATGAAGTACTCACATACATGCTGTCTGTATTAGTGTGATTTTGTGGGTTTTTTTTACGTCTGATGCATCCGCCCTAATTGCAAACACCTTATTTTTGTTTTCAAAAGGGAATATCTATAGTTAATTAGAAATTAGAAACTTCCTTAAACAAGTATAAAGACTACTAAAAAGGAAAAAAAAAACACTATTTCTCTAAATTTTTTTTTTAAATTTATTTATATCCATATTTATATCCAAAAAATTTATATCCATATGTGACCGAAATTTTATTTTAAACTGTTCACGGATGAAGTACTAGCATACATGCTGTCTGTATTGGTGTGATTTTGTGTTTTTTTTTACGTCTGATGCATCCGCCCTAATTGCAAACACCTTATTTTTGTTTTCAAAAGGGAATATCTATAGTTAAATAGAAATTAGAAACTTCCTTAAACAAGTATAAAGACTACTAAAAAGGAAAAAAACACCATTTCTCTATTTTTTTTTTCAATTTATTTATATCCATATTTATATCCAAAACATTTATATCCATATGTGACCGAAATTTTATTTTTAAACTGTTCACGGATGAAGTACTAGCATACATGCTGTCTATATTGATGTGATTTTGTGGTTTTTTTTTACGTCTGATGTGTCCGCCATAATTGCAAACACCTTGAATGCTTAATTGTTAACTGTTATTTGTGATACTTTTAGGTATTTTTCAATAACAACATCATCACTGCTTTTGACTCTAGTTTTCCTTTTATTTTCGGTTGAATAAAGTAAGCAGTAATCTTATTCAAAACCTCTTTTAACTCATCTTAGCATTTCTAGAGCGTTTCTCTTCTACTAAATGTAATTTGACCTATCGCTGAAAGTAGTTGCTCGTTATAGCCATCTCCATTTTGTTCTTGTGCCTCTTAAGTTGTTTATCGAAACAGAAGCTCGTAGATCATCCTTCGGAGCTGCTCTTTTAATCCATGTGCCACAAGAGTATGTTAGATTTAGAAACCAGCTAATATGGCTGCCCAAAACAAACACTGTTGGTTTTATCCTTGCACGGTAATCGTTACTTGTTATCCAGGATGACACGAAACTACAGCATTAGGTCAAGGTAAAGCTTCCCACATGGTCACATATTAGGGCATGCTTTAACCTCTGATCATTTTTCTGTGAGGTTGGTCGTTTGTATTTTTTAGTTCTCTTCTAGAATATGTGTTTACCCTTCGACATTATCTTTTAAACGATTAATTAATAAGTATAAAGGACTGAAAAAGTAATTCAGTGATCTATCGGTGACTTGTGGAATGAACTAAGTGTTTACTTTGCACTGTAAATTTATATCTTATCTCTTACATTGGTTTTTTTTTTTTTTGAAATTTTATCGTGAAAAATTGTAAATTACTATGTGACAATTCATGAGCAACAATATAATCTTGAGCAAAATGAAGAACTAGAAAAATACTTTGTGAAAAACTATGACTAAACATCTATTATCTTCGGTTGATTTTATAATGAGCTAAATCGCACGACTGATATTCAACAAATAATGAAAATATTGCTGCTTTAACCATAAAAAAAAAAAATAATAATAAACAATTGAGTTCCAGTTGTGTAACTCCAACTCCATAGTTGGTTTGTTACCCTGAGGAGTTAAAATAACTGTAGAAATACAAATGATCAAAAATGGTAAATCTAAATTATTAGGTTGTTCCATGGACATTTTTTTCTATGACGATGATCGATTCAAGGTGAAAAAAAAATTGAACAGTGTAGTATACAGATTTTTAAAAACATTATCGCCGTCCAAAAATAATTTGAGGTTTGTTTCAAGAAAATACAATATTAAAAACATTTTTTTTATTTTTCTGTACTTATCTCTTCTTTTCAATGTTTATTTTCCTTATAGTTCTTTAAATCTGTAAACCCATTCATCACTACCCTTTTTTTTCTTTTTTATGTTGGCATTACTGACCATGTAGATTTTTGCCACCTTAACAAGCCTGCTCCATCTCTGCCTGTCTTGGGCTATTTCATTCCATTTATCTGTATGCAACTCTATTGCATCTTTGTTGTTCTATCTATCCATCTGCCTTTTGCCTTCTATCGAAGCATTAATTGTAACGTAGAAGCATCCAGATGGATTGCTACGAGCTGCATGTCCCGCCCATCTTAATCTTCGAGCCTTCATATCATGGGATATTGGTTGACTAGTTTCAGTAAGCAGTTCTTTGTTGGTATTTCTTCTCCATATGTTAGTACTCTGATCCCAGAACGCTCCAGTTATCGTGCGGAGGATTTTTCTCTTAAATATTTAAAACTTTTTTTCTTTTTTTTTTCTAGTGCTGGTTAGTGTCTAGGTATCTCATTGCACTCTTTCAATTTGAGATTTCTTCAGATTTTTCAGAATTTCAATACCTTTCAAAGGGAGAAGAAAGCTGTCTTTGCGCAACTTATACGCTGGTCTATTTACCACTGAAATACAACCTTATTTTCTGTTCAAAATTTATATTGTTTTGTATTATGTAAGTACTATATTTTAATTTATCTCTTATTTCCCCATAAAACTCAACTTTTTTTTGTTTTCGTCTTCTCCTTCCTGACCTTTTAGGCTATACGGGGTTTTCTCTGGCAAGGGGATGAGGGCGGAGAATTAATGCCAGAGTTAAAATCCTCCCCTCCCCCTTGCACTGGTGTGCTGTGCACACCGATTAGCCCGCTCGGTCGTCCCGCCTTCATGATACCATGAAATTCAACCATATTTATTTTTCTCATTTATATAACTCGAGAACAGGAAAACACCGAATTTGGATAAGGAAAAAAATTACACTAAAAAACAATGCTGATCAAGACTTAAGGCGAAACGTCGGCACACATTAAAGCGTATATTTCAATATTACATTACTGTGTTGTTTTATTTCTGAGCTCACTCACAAGCATCATCTTGATTTTATCAATGATCAAATGCATTTCCATTAATCAATTCAATGTTATTTTTTATTTATAAAAGGTACAACAACCTCCTGGGACTGAGGTCCCTCCCTCAGTGACTTATCACCATTGCCGCTTTCAACAGTGATTCCCACACTAGATTCGCTTTGTAGCCTATTCTGTTCCATTCGATGTACATGATTCAGCCATGGTCTCAGGTAGACCGGACATAAGTATTTAGTCATCCAATCTGTTTTTTTTTTAATATAGTCACAAACTGTTGTGGTATGGTAAAGAACCATCAGTTCTGAAATTTCTTCTGATCCTTCTGACTCC